GTGAAGTATTACTACCACTTAATACTGCCTTGGTAAGGCCACACTTGGAATACTGCATCTACTTTTGACTGCCAGATGTAAAAAAGATATTGAGACTTTAGAAAGAGTGCAGAGAAGAGCAACAAAGATGATTAGGAACTGGAGGCTAAAACATATAAAGAACAGCTGCTGGAATTGGGCATGTCTAGTTTAATGAAAAGAAGGACTAGGGGTGACATGATAGCAGTCTTCCAATATCTCAGGTGTTGCCATAAAGAAAAGGGAGTCAAGTTATTCTCTAAAGCGCCTGAGGGCAGGACAAGAAGTAATGGATGGAAACTAATCAAGGGGAGAAGCAACCTAGAACTAAGGAGAATTTTCCTGACTGTTAAAACAATTAATCAGTGGAAGACCTTGACTCCAGAAGGTGTGAATGTTCTAATGCTGATGTTTTAAAGAAGAAATTGGACAACCATTTGTCTGAAATGTTATAAAGTTTCCTGCTGAGCAAGGGGTTGGACTAGTAGACCTCCAAGGTCCCTTCCAATTCTTATTCTGTTATTCTGTTAATCTGAGAGAGAGTGACTTACTTAAAATAACTCAGTGAGCTTCTATACCTGAGACTAGATTTAAACCTGGGACTTCTCACTCATAACCTAACATCTGAACCATTACACAATTAACTACTTTTTTTTTTCAAAATTATGTAACCTCTTCCAAAAGAAAGAAAAATCCTCAATTGTACTGGAGAAACATTATCTCAATAATTTCATAATTTGGACTTCCGGTGGACTTTGCGCGCGCGATGGCAGCTACTTTGTAGCCGTCCTCCTGGGTAAGTATAAGAACCGCTATGAACAGCAGACACCAGCTGTTCAGCGGTTCAAAATCCCCCTCCCGGGCAAAGGGGGGGGCAGAGAGTGTCTGAATAGTGGTAGAGCCTCTTTTGCACCCCCCAAGTTTTTTTGGGGGGTGGTGAAAGGAGTGCTCCCACGGAGTTCAGACTTGTCTCCGCTTCCCAGCTGTTTTTGTCCTTAGGGACAAAACGAGCCGCTGCAAACACCTCCGTGATTAAAGAGAACTGGTGAGTTTTTTGTTTTTTTTTATAAACGGACAGAGCTTAGTAGAGGATTTAGTCTTTGCTTTCTTTGATTTATTTGGATTTTAAGTTTTAAGACTTGTTTCTATTTTTATTCCCTCTTTTTATTTTTCTTTCTTTGTTGAAAGGGAAAGTAAAATGGTGATTGGCAAATCTTTCGGTTTTTTTTTTCTGGAAGTTAGAAAGCTGACCGGCAGGCTTTTTGGTGTTTCTTTTTTTTTTCTTTCCCTTTTTCCTTTTTATTTTTTTATGATTGGAATGGACTGTTAGAATTATTATTTTTCTTTAATCTTTGTGTTTTGTTTTTGGTATTTTTTTTAAGTATTTTTTTTTTTAAAAAAATGGAACGGACCTTTTCTATTTAATTATTTTTTTTCTTCTCCCCTTTTTTTTGAACTCCTTTTCTTTTATTGTAATGACCCCTTTTTGAAGTATCTCCCCCCCTTTCTTTTTGAGAAGGAGTAAAGCTTTTTTTAATTCTTTTTCCTTTCTTTTTTTTCCCCTTTTTTCTTTTTACTATAATGACCTTCTTTGGAGGGAGTTATGATTTTTGAAGGAATTTTTATAAATTTTTAAGAAGGACTAAAGGTTTTTTTTTTAAGATGGCTCCAAAGCATCCAGGGATTTCTACAGCTTCTAAATCAATAGTCCCACCCTCTTTTGGGGGTCAGCCAACAATTATGAAGAATTTGCAAGACATGATGGGAGATGTCATAATTCAAATTAGGGCAGAAATGAAAAAGACTTTAGAGGAAAATAACAAGATTTTGAGACAAGACTTTGTTCTGGCTTTAAAAGGAGTTGCTTCTGTTCTTGAAAAGGTGAACTCCCATCTGGAAGAGGTAGCTGAAAAAGTGGAGATAATGGAGGGGAAAATTGAAAGTATGGAAAAAGAAATGGAAAATGAGATTCTTATGCTTCAATATGGACAAATGGAATATGCCTTAAGAATTAGGGGCTTGGGAGAGTCTTTGCAAGGAGATCTGAAAGAGATGGTTGCAAAGGACTTTGCATTGATTTTGAATAAAGAAAAAGAGGAAATACTTAGTGAAATCGAAAAATTATTTAGGGTTAACTCTGTGGTAGCAGCACAGAAGAATCTGCCAAGAGATGTGGTAATCTATTTTGGTAAAAGATCTTTACATAATGAAATTGTGCAAGCCTATTATAAGAAGAGATTTCAAATTGCTTCACAAGATGTTATAATTTTTAAGGAGATCCCATCTAAAATTTTAAGAAGAAGAAAGGAGTTTGCTTTTTTAGCAAATGAACTTAAAAAGAGAAAAATTCTATTCAGATGGGATGTCCCGACTGGCATGGTGGTGAATTACCTGGGGACATGTTATAGACTTAATACTGTTTCTCAAGCAAAAGATTTTTATACTTCGGGGTATGTGCATCGCCTTCTATCAAGCTTAAAGCTTTGGAAGAAAAGAATGTAGAATTACAGTTTGAAGGGCCTATATTTATGAAAACTGGGGAATCTTTGCTTGAGAGGCCCCAACAAGTCCAGGTTGAGGAGCAGAAGATAACTCGTGCAGCATATATTTGTAAAGAAAAGCAGCAACAGAAGAAGGTCAAGGACGTTTCATATTCAGTGGCCTCTGAATCTTTGGGAGAAGTTAGACCTATAAAGTCGTTGGAGCAATCTTCAAGGGTGGAATTGCTGCCTGAAAGGGAAATTGGGAAATCCCAGTTTGAGGGGCATCAACAAGAGAGGAACGGGCAGAGGATAACTTGTACAACTTATAATTGTAAAGATCAACATAAGGAGGAGTTCAAGGAACCTTACATGTATTGGCTCTGGAGTTGATGGGAGATTCAGGAATTTTGGAGCAATCTCCTAAGGTAGAATTTTCAGCATTTGTTACAAGTATGATACAAGAGTGGAGAACGGATATGGAAGGATGGAGAAAGGAATGGAGAAAGGAAATGAATAAGTGAGACTGATAATAATAATACTAAGATAATTGAGACTGATAATGAATAATTGAGACTGATAATAATAATACCAATATAACTGAGACTGATAAGGACGGACTTCCTTACGGACGGAATTTGTTATTGGTGAAGATTGAAATGTTTAATGTGTTTATTGTGGATAGGCATATAAGGAAATCTTATTGTTTTAAGTTTTAAATTTTTAATGATAATATTGTTTAAACTTGTGTTTTGAAGGGATTATAACTTGTTTATCTTAGTGAGGGGTTTCTAATGTTTTAAATTTTAAGTAATGTTTAAATTTGTGTTCTGAAGGGTTTAAATCTGTCTCTTTAAATATAATTATTGATATCTTTAAGAGAAAATAATTTGTTTAACTAAACCTGTGTTTTGAAGGGATTATAATTTATTTATTTTAGTGAGGGGATTCTAATATTTCAAACTTTAAGTAATCTTTAAATTTGTGTTTTGAAGGGTTTAAATTTGTTTTTTTAAACATTATTAATAATATTTTTAAGAGAAAATAACTTGTTTAACTAAACGTGTTTAGATTTGTTTAGGACTTATATGTTTTTTAAGTTTCCTTTTTTTTTCTTTTTTTCTTGGATAGGAGAGAAGAATATGAAGATTGAAGGAAATATGTGTTTATTTTAAGTTTTTTTAAGAGTATTTAGTTTTAATGATACAGCAAAGGTTTATATGTATATGTTTATTTTTTTGTTTTAGGATAAAAGAAAGAGGGAGAAATTAGATTTTATATTATAGGTATAGATATTCAAAGAAAGTAATGTTTTAATTTGTGTTTTTTTTTTTCTTGGAGGGAGTTTATATAGAATGACCATTGTATTTAAATTTGTTTAGGTTTCAAAAGTGTTATAAGTTTTTTTTCAATTAAGCCTGTACTCAGCTCTGGGAAGTCTAGGGGAGGGTTTGGGAGGTTGGGGGAGGGGGTAGGGTATGGGAAGGGGATTTGTTTTTGTAAAATTTAAAAAATCTTCAATAAAAAAAATAATTTCATAATTTATAATTTTATTTATAATCAAAATTAGTGAATGAAATCCTTGAGTCTAACCACTGTACGTAGAATGGCTACCTCATGTTTGTGAATAAACAGGGCTGGGCAAATTGCAATCTGAATGATCAATTCAGATAATTTTTTGACTAGTATACAAAGTTTAATTTATCTTCTCACAGGAGTCATTGGCTTTTCCAGTAGCATTACTGGCAAAGAATAGGGGCAGAGAGATTTTTTTTAAAAAAAAAGTATGTCAAAAAGAGATGAAGTGCAATAAAATAAAAATAAAATGGGAAGATAGGGAAAATGGGTGCCCAAAATTCTTCAAATGCACTAGCATGTAACCTCATAGATTACCCACAAAACGAACAAAACATGCAGTACATTTTACAACAAATACATATCTATCAAAAAGTAATAACTAACTTGAACTAGTTATTAAATTTTGCTAGAGGTGCTTTGACCAAAGCAGGAGAAGATGCAGTACACCTCCCCCCCTTTTAAAGCAGCCAAGTCTTTCTAAGGCTCATGAAGCTGCTTCAGAAACTGCATCCACTTATCTATGGGGGCATTCGGAGCCTTTCAGAAGCAGCCATGTGACTCTGAAAAAAACTATATATAGCTGCTTTAACCATTGTAAAGAAGAGCACTGTATGTATTCCATCTGTTTCAAAGCCACCTCTTTCAAAGGATTTGCATAATAACACTACTAGTCATTAATCCTTTTATACAGCATGGATCACAAATACTTTTTAAATTTATTGTCAATTAACTTGAAAATAACATTAGCATCTCAAATCTTCTTCTTATCATCAGAGAATTAAAGGGCGTCATCAATGACCCTGACTGCAAAATAGCACATTACTTATGTCTAAATGCAATCACCACCAGCTATTTAATTTTGTAGGAAATAATAAAGACTTTAATTATTTATGCTTTCATTTAAAATCTTAGCCAACACCTTACCAGTGAAACCTGGAGGACAAATACAAGTGTAATTTTCAACCAGATCTAAACATGTTGAATTGTTTTTGCAGAAGCTGCAGGAACAGTCATCAAAGTTGATTTCACGGTTCAGACCTTCAAATCCTTGATTGGAAAAAAAAAGAGGTGGGAGGGATTATATTATCTATCAGTGCCAGTATTTATTTTTCTGAATTCTCTCTTTGTAAATAATCAATCAAGCGTTATCAGAATACTCCATAACATAGTGTTCTTCCATGGCTCATAGCATTATTTTTCCTCTCAAGTTTTTTGTCCTTACTCACTTTAAATATATTTCTTGCTCAAATTTTCACAATTCAATATGGTACATTAAAAATGTCTATTTTACAGATAAGAAGCCAGCTGGCTATATCCAAAACTTGAATGATTATTTTATTTTAAGAAGCTCAATGGGTTCTTCTATATTATTTCCACAGAACATGAAGCAGGAAAAGAAATGTCAGAATTTTACTTGCAATTCTTTTCCTATTACACAGTAATATGAGGACTATGTTGCTCGATTGAGGGATCAGTTTAATATAAAGGTTTGGGTGATCATACTAGAACTGGAGAGATGAAGTTGAAATTCTTGTTGAATTAGGAAATTTGCTAGGAGACTTTACTCTCTGATTCTCAGTCTAAAATGGAGCTGATTTATTTATTGGAAGAAAAGTAGAATAATGCAAGCTACTAAGAAATAATTGAGCAAAAGTACATTTTCACAGAATGCTTGATATATAAAATTAGATAGCATAATTGCTTCCTGAGAAATATACCATCTTTGTAAATTTTTTTTTGCAATCAATACTGTTATTCTCTAAATCTGAATATTACAACATAGTCAGAGATAGCTGCTTTGAAATACTAGTCCAGTCAAGCTCATTTTGATGTTGCATGCATATAAACCCAGACTTCTATGTTGCTCTCTATTCTGTGTACTGAAAATCCTAGGGACCTACACAACAGAAAAAGTTTAGCTATATAATATTTGAAGCATCCTGTCTGATGTTCTTGAAGTGCCCAATCGCATCAGGAATTTTCAAACAAATTACTTTCAGGATGAAGTTGAGACAGTAAGTAATATCAGTTATTTGAGCCTTTTCAAACAAAATAGGAAAAATCCAGTAGATCTCCTGCTGACTATGTATCCAAATGCTTGTCATCTCAACTTTCTTTACCTAGTTCCTAGAACCATACCTTTGAATTCATCAATTAATCTGAAAACAAAATTTATAAATTCATACACCATTAGGGCAAAATTTGCTAACTTTTTGCGTTCCCAAATATATTTTTCTGTGACTAATTAAAAATAATAATCCCATGATTTATTGCATTTAGAGCCCTTATTTTTCTGTGTATTACCTCATTGTTTCTGGTGGAATGATTACCTTGCATCTGAGTTATAACTGGTCCAAAGTCCTTGCTGTATAGAGGGATTTTTGTGCAAAAAACTGACAGAGAACTCTCCATTTTGGTATCTGACATTTTATGCTGTTATAAATCTATTCTAATGCATGGTCACGCTACAAAATGACTATCATTAAGTGCTGTCACAGGCCATGGCTGCAGGAAGACCATGACTAATGCTAAGCTATCAGCACCCACAGTGCGAGGCATATTCTCGTAATTTCTCAAAATGACCATGGAACCAATTTCTACTGATCCCTAAGTCATAAAACTTTGCAATTACCCTGACTTCATTAATAATGTATACAGTTACAGATCTCATTCACATAAAAACTTTAATCAGACCCATGTCTCCTTTCCTGATAACAACCAATTCACTAAATTATCGCTGTAAATACCAAGTGCTATTTTCTCTAAATCCAGACAAAGAAATTACTGAAAAACAGAACAAACAGTGGGGTCTGTCTGAAGTGCTTTCTCAGATCACACGTTCTGTGCATTGTGGTCACAGATGTAAGCCAGTGGAAATTACTGAGTTAGATTTTAAATTAGTACCTGTGGTAATTGCATCTGGCAGAATAGCATCCCAGGAAGTTTAGAACATTATCACAAATTATGTTAACTATTGGACATTTTGGAATGATTTCTACATATTTGCAGGACACCCACACAATGAGAGAGATCCTCTAGGAGCACAGGCATCTGCAGAAGGATTGAGGTGAGGAGGGGGTGGACAGATAAAATGACAATATGCTTGCCCTATTATCAGGATGCAAATTATGAGACAAATTTGCTTGCACAGATAAGTAGTCCCATTTGTATGATAATGTCATGATGCATGTCACAATGATGTCATTTAGACATCATTGTGGATTGTTATGGGTGCCTATGCAAAAAGAGTTAAAAAATCCTGTGCAAGGGTAAAATAGTCAGGTGAAGCCAGTGAAGGTAATAGCATGACATTTCTTATTTTTAGGTCCATAATTATACATAAAACTTGGCTGAAAGCTCATCCAAAAGAGTACCACATAATGTGCCTGACTCTGGTCTAATCAGGAAGGTACCAAGAAAAACATAACTTTGGCCAGATCACATTTTCTTTGTTAGCAGAATTACAGAGTAGGATGTAACAGCAAGTTGTTCATGGACTCCAATATGCCCATCAAACTCCCTTCCCAATTTTAACTTTATTTCTTTGGGACTGCCGTATTTTCCGGCGTATAAGATGACTCGGCGTATAAGACGGCCCCTGACTTCGGAGCCGATTTGCATGCTTTAGAAAGTCATCTTATACACTGGAAACTACCGTAATTTCTGGCGTATAAGATGACTCGGCGTATAAGACGACCCCCAACTTCGGAACCGATTTGCATGCTCGTCTTATATGCCGGAAAATACGGTATTTTAATTTTAAAAACAGAAGAGGTTGTTGTTGTTGATGATGATGATGATGAAGACTCAAGGCAACATACATACTTCATGCTCCTTTCTTCTCTACTACATAGTCCTGTGAGGTGGTTTGGGCTAAGAAAAATCAACTGGCCCTCGGTCCCCCAGCTGCCTCTCACATCTAGAGAAGTTTTATATATTTATTGGATTGTTATACTGCCTGTATTATTTTTATAAATAATTCAAAGTGGCGAACCAAAGCTACTATTCCTTCCACCTCCTATTTTCCCCACAACAACCCTGTGAGGTGGATTGGGCTGCCAATTGGACTAGGATTGTTCTCTCTCTTATGGCAGCACAAATACCATCCACAGCCCAGAAGGCCACAGCAGTTCTCTTTCCCTCAGAATGACACTGACTCTCTCTCCTCTACTCAGTCCTTTCTTTACTGCCTTTTCCCAGTCTCTCCTCCAGAGGCTGCATCTTCCTTTTCCCTCTCTGAGCTGCTGGACCCTGTAGTTCTGCTCCCTTGCACTTTGATTTCATTGCCTCTGATGGAGACTACGTCTCCCAGAAGGCCACTGCAGCGTTCTTCTCCTGTTCAGAGTTCAAGTGGCCAGGTTCCAACCGCATGGCTACATTTATTTATTTTAGGAAAAGAAAACTAACTTTAATCATAATTTTTCTGAATATGTCTCCAGAAAAAAATGCATAACTGAAACGGATGGCCTCAAAAATAAATGACAAATGCACTTGCTTTTCAGCCTAATTAAATCTGCACCAAGACTTGCATTAATGAGTAAAGATTCATTGATTATCACCAAATCATTTAACAAGTTCAATCCTAATTCTGTTGTCAAAAGAGAAAAAAATAAAGGAATAAAGTGAAAATAGAGTTGGTTAAAGCTTGATACTTGAAAGCAAATATGACTAATTATCGAGTTTTTGTTAATGTAATATTCCTTGTGGCCAGATGCTTACAACATATGAGAATGTATTCTAATGGAGCAGCATAGTTTTGCAGCAAGACCCCTGCTTTATTTTTCTGCTTTTTCTTACTGTTGTTCTAACATGGTTAGGAAGCACAAACAAAGTATCAGACATATATTCACATTACTGAGAAAACTATTCACTTGCCTCTGAACAGGTTTCCTTGGCAGACATGGATGCAAATGAAAATTCAGGACTGAACAGGCTATTTGGTAGGAAGGAAACTTTTGTTTTTGTTTTTCAAGTTTTGAAGATTGGTAAAAAGACAAACCTTTCACTTTCAGGCAATTTTGGCAAATTGACATTCAGAATAAAGATGTATTATATTGAATAACATGCCTTCAGGGCAAAAATCAATTATACCCATTAAAATCAAGATACCGTATTTTCTGGCGTATAAGATGACAGGGCGTATAAGACGGCCCCTGACTTTTGAGAAGATTTTCATGGTTTAGAACAGTGGTTCTCAACCTTCCTAATGCCGCAACCCTTTAATACAGTTCCTCATGTTGTGGTGACCCCCAACCATAAAATTATTTTCGTTGCTACTTCATAACTGTAATTTTGCTACCGTTGTGAATCGTAATGTAAATATCTGATATGCAGGGTATATTGTCATTGTTACAAATTGAACATAATTAAAGCATAGTGATTAATCACAAAAACAATATAGCAATTACTCTTACTTGCTCAAAAATGTTGGGAGGGAGGGAAGGGGAAGGAAGGAAGATTAAAGGGGAAAGGAAGGAAGGAGAAAGAGATTGAAGGGGAAAGGATGGAGATGGAGATGGAAGGAAGGAAGGAAGATTGAAGGGGAAAGGAAGGAGATGGAGAAGGAAGGAGATTGAAGGGGGAAGGAAAGAAGGAAGGAGAGAGAGATTGAAGGGGAAGGGATGAAGATGGAGATGGAAGGAAGGAAGGAAGATTGAAGGGGAAAGGAAGGAGATTGAAAGGGAAAGGAAGGAGATGGACAAGGAAGGAGATTGAAGGGGAAAGGAAGGAAAGAAGGAAGGAGAGAGAGATTGAAGGGGGGAGGCACTGCCAAGGATGCACAAGCAGCTCCGCACAATTGCCCGGGGAGGGGGGGAGGCTCTGGTGGAGAGCCTGGTGGAGAGCCAAGCAGTGGCACATCCGGGGCCTTGGAAGCTGCATGGAGGATCCGCGTGCTTCTGAGCCGCCGGCTGCCCTCTCACACCCGCCAAGGGATGGAGATGGAGATGGAAGAAAGGAAGGAAGGAAGATTGAAGGGGAAAGGAAGGAGGTGGAAAAGGAAGGAAGATTGAAGGGGAAAGGAAGGAGGTGGAAAAGGAAGGAGATTG